ACTCATGTTGTCTCATATACTAATTTAAGTGCAAGTTAACACTTGCCTGGCTCAATGGTTTCTGAGAACATTGCTTTTATTGTGCTTGCCAAGGGGGCTTATATATTCCTAATGTATTCCTCTTCCCAATATAAATCTGTCTGGTTTGCAGGAAGGTTTAAGCCATTTTCATCTGCACATAAGGCAGACAGTGTTCTAAGCTGAAAGTTTACGCTGGAAGTTATTGAATGTAAACATTATTGAAATCCTGATTTTAACATTTAAATATTTCGGATCTAAAGACTTGCAAGAATACCTTGGGTAGAGGTAGTTAGAATTTAATATCACTTTTTCCTGAAATTCTTGCGGGTAATACAAACACTCTGTTTGCCCTGTATACTAAGAAACTATAAGATAAAAAAGATGGAGGTATGGTGCTGAGATGTCTAAAAGGTAGTAGCAGATAGTAAGAAACTGAAACATTCATTTGCAGGGATTGGGTCGCTTTATTCTTTTTGGCAACTTCTTTAACTTGTTAACTTTCACAGCTTTGACTTGAAAATTGTAAATCAGTTCATCTTGATGTTAAGAAATAAAATATTAAAGCAGTGAAAATACTTGGATTTGGTGGTGTAGTGTTTGCATTTCTAGAAACAAGTGTCTTTCCTACTAACTACAGTGGAAAATTCCAGTAAAACTGTTTTTAAATTGGTGTCTCCAGAGTAGCTGTGGTACAGTGTGTCATCATTAAATATTTAAAACTGTAGGCTTTCTGGCTGCTTCTTGACTTGCATTGTGTTCAATGGTTTTGACATTGCATAACCTTAATGTTTATCTATTAAATATTCACCTGTTGAAGTAGCTGTGGAAGTAATATTTTAGCATAGTGTCATGGTTTAACCCCAGCCAGCAACTAAGCACCATGCAGCTGCTCACTCACTCCCCCCACACCCAGTGGGATGGGGAAAAAATCAGGAAAAGAAGTAAAACTCGTGGGTTGAGATAAGAACGGTTTAATGGAACAGAAAAGAAGAAACTAATAAAATGACAACACTAATAAAATGACAACAGCAATAATAAAAGGATTGGAATGTACAAATGATGAGCAGTACAATTGCTCACCACCTGCTGATCGACACCCAGCCACTCCCTGAGTGGCGATTCCCCCCACTCCCCCAGTTTATACACTAGATGTGGCGTCCCATGGTATGGAATACACCTTTGGCCAGTTTGGGTCAGCTGCCCTGGCTGTGTCCTGTGCCAACTTCTTGTGCCCCTCCAGCTTTCTTCCTGGCTGGGTATGAGGAGCTGAAAAATCCTTGACTTAGTCTAAACACTACTGAGCATCAACTGAAAACATCAACGTTACCAACATTCTTCTCATACTGAACTCAAAACTTAGCACTGTACCAGCTACCAACAAGACAGTTAACTCTATCCCAGCTGAAACCAGGACACATAGCTATTAATTCAGTGCATATGTATATTGTTTGAAGAGACTGTCAGCAAGTAATTACTGAATGAGCAAACTTGACAGGATACAGGTAGGGAGATGAATCTGGAGAGTCTGTGCTTTAAATCTCTATCACAAGTGAAATAGCTAGACTTTGACATCAATAATGAATAGAAACTGTATATCCCATACTCCAGGCAAGCTTCTTTTGCATGGGAATTAGTTTACTTTTACAGTAACATTTTGTGGTGTCCTTGTTTTTCTCCAGTGATGCTGACTTGCAGTAATCACAGATCACTAGAAATGTATTGCCAAAGAAAGTAAAACTTAATGACATTGGGTTTCTGAAGTTCTGTGTTTCTTTCAGGTTGCTTGCCTGGCCAGAACTTCTGGTGCTTAACGAGATGGCTAGGGATAGTGTTTCGATATTTGTAATGAAGTACTGATTTCAGTTTGATGTATGTTATTCCTGTGACTAATCTGCCCAGGTTCCAGTATACATCATTTAAGGAATAGGAGCAGTCACTGGGATACTTTCCACGTAGGGTAATCTGTGATCGGTGTATGTGCTTAGATGTGAAAAATACCTTTTAAAGACACTTCAAGAATTGAATTTAAAGGGAATGACACTGAAACTGAACTTGTAATGGTTGTATTTACTGGTTAGAGCTTATTGCTTTAATTTACTTGCTTTCTTTAAATTGCATTCGGTATAGGCCTTAAGTGCTATGTCAAACTCTATTCCAAATAGCATTTAACCAGCTAGGGCATGGGCAATAGACATCACTGGATCAACTGTCACCATGAAAGAATTCATACTCATTTTACAGAGGAAAAGTGAGGTTTTCAGATAATGTTTTATATCTTGGCAGATACCAGTTCTGTAGTGTAAGGTAAACTTGCAGTTAAGTTAGCAAACATTTCTTGTGGATTTTCTGTCTTCTGAGGGGCTCGGAGTGAGTTTATATCCTTGATATGTGACAGCATGTGTTAAGGAGTGTGAGTTCCCCTTTGGAAGACAGTGTTGCTATTTTTAATTCCTCTTTGAAGGAATAGGGGGAAAATGATTATCACTGGTTTTATACAAAAGGCTGAGTGTGAATCCTCTGTCCTGGCTTTGTTCCTTCACTTGAATCAAGTTACTTCCAGACTTTGAGTAGAAGTCTATTTCAAAGAATTTCCTTAAGAATTGTTATGTCTTGTTGCAGGATTGCAGAACGGCTGAGGTTGGAGGCACCTCTGGAGGCCTCTAGTCCAATGCCCTGCTCAGACCAGGTTCATAAGCAGGTTGCTCAGGACTGTGTGCAGTTGGGTTTTGAACATCACCAGGGTTAGGTTCTACAATCTGAGTAATTTCTTCCAATGCTTGACTATCCTTTACCATTAAAAGGTGTGTTTTTACAGAATAAAATCTATATGGAATTTCCAAATGAACTTTTCTGTGTTTCAGTTTGTGCCTATTGCCTCTTATCCTGTCACTTGATACTACAGAGAAGAGTCTGGCTCCATCTTTACTCTCTTCATCAGATTTTTATGGCTGAGATCCTGCTGAGCTGTCTTTTCTCTAGACTGAGCAATCCCTGCTCTCTCAGCCTTTCCTTTCATTAGAGACGCTCCAGTCCCTTAACCACTTTTGTGGCCCTCAACTGGACTGACTCTAGATGTAAATATCTGTATTTTATTGGACAGCCCAGAGCTGGCGGCAGCCTCCCAGCAGGATCTCATCAGGGCTGAGTAGAGGGGAAGGATCACCTCCCTTGACCTGCTGGTAATGCTTCTACTAACACAGCCCAGGTGGCTGTTGGCCATCTTTGTCACAAGGGTACTTTCTGCTGGCTCATGATCAGCTTGGTGTCTACCAGGAGTATTCAGGACCTAAGTTCCTGTAACCTGCCATAGGAAGCCTCTTTATCAGAGTTGTAGTAGTAAAAAGTGATTATGGCCATTTTGTAGCATCATAAGTAATTTATCCATATAGTGCATTTCAGTGTGGCTTTACTGGAGTTGAAACAAACTGTATGGAAACGGGGAAATTCTCATTCCTACTGTAGAACTGGACACTGGCAGCTTTTCTATTAAAATTAGATTTGTGCATCTTCACAAAAAAAAGTAAATTAGGAGAAAAGGCTGAGGGTATTCCCAGCGGCCTGTGTGGGAGATCAGAAGACAAACACTTCGAACACAGGTCTTTAGCTCTTTTGTGGCTCTCACATTAGAAGAGCAAGGCACTATGGCTCACAGGGCTCTGTGTTGGATAGTGTGTTATCTTGGACAGCTACAAGTATTGTAGGTCAGCCCTTTTCAGCCACCTTTGGAAGATACCTTGCACAAGGCCTCTGAGGAGGAAGTCGGAATGATCACAGCAGCGTTCAGGGTACTGCTTGCTTAGTCTCCAGGGTGCTCCATCTCAATTGCCTTTTTGGTTTTGCTTCCACAGGAGTCTTAAGAGTTAGCTGATCTGCATGGAAATGGGACAGGGAGCATTTGAAAAGAAATGTCAAATGATTAGGCAAAAGATAAATTTACGGAGTTAAGTTCCAGCTGCCCAGAGCTGGCTGATTCTGCATTGCAGGGAGGGAAGAAAAGGAGCTAAATCTGACCACATGTTGAGGCTTCTTTTTACCTTTATGTTTTGTACAGTGAAAACCCCAAATAATATAATTTGTCGTGTTCTGTAACACAAGCATGGATGTACTGTTCTAATCTTCCCTGTAATAAGGATAAACCACTTGTACAGACTTCAGTGGGAGGTACTGAACTCTTCAAGATGCTGGTTTTGTAGCATGATTATAAGGGCTGAAGAATCTAACTGATAATCTTAAAATATTTCTGACTGACACTTTCAGGCAGCAGGTAAAAACTTCTGTGCAAAAGGACCTGAGAAGCTCACTGTTACTTGGCATTTTGTTGTAAGACCTCTGTGTTGCAGAAATTGGTGAGCTGCTGAACAGCTGAAATGCGATCCTACTTCTGCCATTCATTCTTAGGCTTATAAAAGTGATGTAGCAGAGTTTATCTTGACCTCATGAATGATTGTGTGTCACTTGATAGCAAGCTCAATGACTGTACAAAAAACTACATTCACTTGAAAAACATGTGCAAACCTCCAAGTGCTTTGGGCTGTCTTCCTGTGTTTTTGACCTAGATATCAAACTGAAATATTTATTCCTTGTATTTTTTAATGCTTTTTAATGATAATTAAAGGAAAACATTCTTACATCTTCTTAAATTTGTCTTTTTAATCTTATAGTAAGTTAACTGAGAACACTTTTTCTCCACCAAGGCTTGCTGGAGTGTGTACCTAACTTTTCTCCTTTATTTGAATTTATTTGAAAGTACTACTTAAATTATATATGAGTTCATGTAGTCAGCTGCTCCTGGGTGGTCTGTGTTACATTCTTTCAGTGTTTTCAGAGAAGCCAGCACAGAAAAAACCAGTTAACTGGCTTTGCAAGTTAACTTTTCTGGCTGCCCTTAGAAACTTTGCAATGTCTCAGAACAAGTGACACTGTCCTATTTCAACTGTTTTTAAAGTGTTTGATTTCTAATTTTTTTTCTTTTTCCTAAGGTTTCCTATGCGCGACCAAGCTCGGCTTCTATCAGAGATGCAAATTTATATGTTAGTGGACTTCCAAAACCAATGACCCAGAAAGAACTCGAACAGCTCTTTTCCCAATATGGACGCATTATTACTTCTCGTATTCTGGTTGACCAAGTCACTGGTGAGTAGCCTGTTTGCACCTCCTCTCATTTTTGGACTGGCAGTTTAAGAAATATTTTAGCTTTCTGTAAAATAGTCTCATTTCTAGAATGTATGAAAGGTGTATATAGGCTAGAAAATGTAATTTTCTGCTGGAATTGTTCATAAATATGCATGGACAAAAATAGATTGTGGAGTGTACTGAGCCAGCTTGAGTAATTTCCACCCTAAAGGTGCAGGTTTGAAGCCTGTTTCATGGCTTGTAATAAATTTACAGCTGCTATAATCTTCCTTTCCAAGTTGCTGTGTGAAAATAGTCCCTATGCACCTTATGAAATGCTATTAAACACTCTTTTAAAAAAAATAAAATCTTAACGCAGAAATGCACAGCTGGTTCTCTGAGGCTAGGATTACAAAAGACCTAGGCTGGTAATTGCTGTTAAGACTGTTTTCAGGGTTGCCTCATTAACTTTGGGCACACTGAAGAATGTGAACTTTGAGTTCCTTGGGAGCAGATAAGGTCTGTGCTTAGCAGTGCCTTAAAGAACTAAGCTCTAGCAGGTTAGTTGCGGTTACAGTATGCGTCTTAACCAATGAGTGGGTGTCAGTGACACTCTGGTTACTCTTAAGACCTGGACAGTAATGCATGTGTCTTTGTTGGCTCAAATAGCTGATCTTGAGGAGCTTTATAATTTGCTGTCTCACCTGCTTCCAGCAGGCCTGTTCCAAAAATAAGCAACCAAATGAAATGCCAAGTACATGACAGAAGTACTGAGTGTGCAAAGCAAAATACAAAGGAGCAGGGCTCTCAATTCTCATCTTCCCAGAAAACTAGGGGTGTGGGGTGGAAGAATTCATTTACTCACATAATCATTCCCTGAATAATAAGCTGGCTTGGATTTTTTTTATAGTTGTACCTTTTCAAAGTTGCATGTCATTGTAGGTGACAAACAGCTTTCAGCTGTAGGAGGTCATAAAGTTTTCAAATGGTCTTACTTTGAAAGGATTGTGCATGCTAGTGTTTGACACTTGGCTGACCTGTAGAGGACCTCATATGTACTCCTTTGCAATTCCATTATGTTAACAGAAATCTCAATATTGACACATAATACTTAGAGTGTTTTAATAGTGTGAGTTGGTGAGAGTGCAGAGAGGCAGGGAAAGGAAAGCTAAAGGCCAAATAGTGACTTGTAGAAGCAGCAGATTTGCAGGTCAGTTTTCCGGTCTTCGTGGAATAAATCGCTGTTTTCAGTACGTTCCTGTGTTTTCATGCATGGAAATGGTGGGATTTGACAAATTAGCCAAATAAGTAAATGTAATTAAATTTTTAAATGTGTACAGTAATTCTAAGTACTCATAAATCCTAATATGTGCACATTAGTTCTCTGGCATAGGCTGTTGTTCAGGTTTAAGCTTTCTTCCCTCCTCCTTCTTAGTAATTTGGAATAGGTAGACTCAAAATGGTATGAATAATAAGGTTGTGACACAAACTAGCAGGTGAAAAGTGTAAGGTTGAAGCTGTGACATTTACCTCTTTAAAGCTTTCTTATGCCTGTTTGTTGTCACTTTGATGGTTTAAATTGTCATTGTTTATGAACAGAATAAGTTTCTTGTTGTTAGTGTCTTTCACAAGTGAGGACAAGCATCTAATATGTCTGTTTATTCATGAACCAAAATAAAAGGGGCCTCTAAATGGATTTAGGAATATTAGAACAAAGTGTGCAACTGCTGTTGGCTGTAGTAGCGTTAATGTTAATTGGTTCAAGTATTGACACCTTAGTGTGTTTATATTTAAGCCACAGCATAAATTTTTGAGGTGCAATGTTCCTAAGACCTTCCATAAACACTTGCTGATCCCCTTGCATGTTGTCTTTGACTTTTCTATACCAAGGAAGAAACTATGTCTCAAGAAAAATTTCCTTCAAAAATAACACCTACAAAAGTATGGTGGTGTGCTGAAACTGAATCTTACTTAGAGGTAACCATGGACTGTTAAAACAGGGCCATAATTCCCATTACTGCAATCTAGAACCTGCACTCTGTTCTTTGTCCTCTCAGCATATTTGCTCCAAGGGGAACTTCAGGGGGTGGCGCAGCAGTGCATAAGCCATTTCTTGCTGCTAGGGAGCAGATGACTAAGCTATTTACAGAATTTCTGTGAATTTAGATACTGCAGGGTAGTATGGACTGAACAGAGGTTACAGTGCAGCTGGTTCTGGGTTCACCTCTATCCTGCACACACACACCACCCCCTACTCCCCCTCTCCCCCGCTTCATTTCAGAATTACCCTTTGGCTCACTATGCTTTTGTTGTCTCCACTGTGTTTTCCCTCAACCTTCTAAGCTTTCTGCACAATGTATCTTACGTCAATTAAATTAAAAAAATAAAATAAAATTTAAAAAAATTACAGTAGAAGTCTTACTACTTTGAGCAAAAGCTCAGTTCTAATAAGCTCAAACTTATCATGTGTTCACAGCAATTGGCCATTAATATAGCAATTGGCTGTATCAAATGTTAACACCTAATATTCTAGAGTCTATGAATTAATTATTATATGCTTCCTTCACCCTGTGCAGGAGTATCAAGGGGTGTGGGGTTTATCCGGTTTGACAAGCGAATTGAAGCAGAAGAAGCTATCAAGGGCTTGAATGGCCAGAAACCTCCAGGTGCCACAGAGCCCATCACTGTAAAGTTTGCTAATAATCCAAGCCAAAAAAACAATCAGGCCATCCTTTCCCAGCTGTACCATTCTCCAAACAGAAGATATCCAGCACCTCTAGCTCAGCAGGCTCAACGTTTCAGGTAAGTCAAATACATACTTGTGTGCAGCTGTGCTGGAAGCCACATGTTCCCATGGGCCTGTTTGTTTCCCTCCACTCTTTCCCTTCCCTGCTTGTCTGATTTCTGTGTTGAACTGCAGCTATGCTCCTACAAAACAGCTAAAAGCAAAAATGCATTCCATCCTATTGATAGCATTTCAGTATCTAATAAACCTATTTAATTATTGTTAAACCAAGATGACATCTTTTTCTTCTACACAGTCACTAAAAAAATCCCTTTTTAAAGCCTATTTTTGATTTCCTAGATTATTCTCAGTTAATGTGCAAGTTGATTCAGTTAAGACTGACCCGGGCAATTCAGTTTTCTTCTTGGCCATATGGCATGCCACAGCCAGCCTCTTCTTCTCCACCCTGTCTTTCCTCCCCATTCTGGCTTTCAGTTTTTTTCATACGCAGTTGTCTAAATCCTTGTCTTCCCTTACTACAAACTTTTGTAATGAAGGTTATTCAAATACTTTCTGCATGTGTTTTTTGTGGATGTATGTTCCCATCATGTTGAAACTACAGCCATACAGTTTCCTGTGATATATAGTGTATTGAAAAGGACAGATGGTGAGAACAAAGTGAAACAAATACTGTATTATCTACATTCATGAGTACCTTGGATTTTTTTCAGTGATTTTGATCGTTTCTTCCCACCCTCTGCCCCTGGGCTATGTGACTGGAACGTGTTAAACAGCAATATATGCAAACGGTTTCTATTTTATTTTCAAGAAATAATATCAGCTGGCAGTTTGCTTCAAAGAGAGTATACCAAACTTCAAAAGCTCTGCATTGCCTTAGGTTGCTTTTAGGCTGAATATTTGGAGTTCATTGGCTGCAATTCTGCCAGAACTTCTGAACTCTTCTTCAGCTTTTCAGCCTTATGTGCTGCAAGTGTCTGAGAGGTGTGAAGGTCACCGCTAGAGTAGGCTTTCTGCCCTAAGGGAGGGGATAATAAATTTTATTCATTACTTTGTGGATTTTCTTAACATGTCTTACAGAATAGAAGGATTAATCTAAATGGTGTGCTGAGTATTGAATAAAAGTAGGCTTGCCATTGTTCCATAGGCAGAGCATAGGGGCAGAAGTTGCGCTGGCAGGATGGACCCAAGTGCATTATTTGAAATAAGGTCATGAGGGAGCTGTTGTACAGCCTGTGTGTTAGAGCATTCAACATATTCTGGCAAGTCTGGCCTGCTGACTCCTTGAGTCCTGCTGAGTGCACTTGTTCACAGATACGTGGCTGTGTTAAGTATTACTCTGATACTGGCTAGGATAGCATCTGTATTTAACTGATACTCCAGGTAGATCTGTCATGATTTGTAAAAATTCTCCAATTTCTGGAGTTTTTTCTTTGGATGGGACCTAAGAAGTTCTTTGCAGTTAAGTAATTTCAATAGACTACCCTTGTCATGCAACATTAGGCTTTCAACCTTACAAATTTTATTTGATTGCAATTTATTTTTGTTTAAAAAGGAATTGTATTTTTATGAATATAAATTTCACTGGAAAGTTTTTTTTCTGAGGTACTAAGTGTAAAGTGGTGCCTGAAACAACCATAAGAGATACTGTGATTTGCTCCACTTAAAAGTGTAATGGTAACAAAAAGCACTGAGTAGGTACCAAGTCTGTCGTGAATAGGAGGGAGAGTAAAATCGTTCCTGCTTTTATCGATGTGGAAGGAAGAATAAGGTTGAACTGACTATTCAAAAGGTAAACTGGGGTTGCAGACAAAATTAGATTTTTTTTTTTTCTTTTTAAAATTTTTTGGGGAATGCCTTCAGGCTTCTGTTTCCTCTCTAAAAGAGGCGGCCTTGCCACATTTTAAATTTTTATAACTGAAAACGGAAATCATCTTTTCTGGTTTTTTAGGTCTTTGCTGTTGTCGCAGAATTCCAACTCTATTGCTGACTACATAGTTCAGATTGCACCAATGCTTCAGATCTTTTATGTCTTTTACATGCAAGAAATCTTTGCTTTTGACATTTCAGACAGGATTACTTGATACAGTTGCCCTGTCTTAGTGGTTGACAGAGGCCTGAAAACAGTAAACTTCAGTAGTATAGAACAATAGGATCACTACAATGCTGCTTTTCTTCTTGTTAAGAAAAATCTTGAGCTGGACTTTCAAAAGCAGCTATATATAATTGTTCCTCAGTTTCTGTAGGATGTGTAACTTAAAGCATCTTTAAAAATTGTCCAGTGAGTGCCCCTGAGAATTTTTCCACAATACTTTTAAGTCATCCAGGTAACTGAAAACTGTTAACGGTGATACTATTACCATATGAAGTCCTCAGCCAACTGCTCTACAGCAAAGACCTGTAAGCAGTGGTGTTTCTGGAAATCTTCACCTTCCCTTCCACCCCCAAATGTTAATGACAGTAGGCCTCTGTCATCCACACTGAGTTTATAGATAGTAGTCAGGCATTTTTTAATTTCCTCTTTTCTGCTCTTTTAGGGGTTCAGTGGCTTGCTTTCCTGTCAGTGCATCCTGCAAACCCTGCTCACTGCAGAATCATAATGCCGTGTAGTTTGATACCTTTACTTGGCTGCAAACAAGACCAAGTATTTTTTCTTCGTTTTTTTTTTGTGCACAAGTGTGGTTACACTACTGTGGCACTTTAGTTTGGATTCTGCCTACCAGTAATGGTTCTTAAATCCTATAGCTCATTACTGGAGAGAAATCACAATAAGGTACAGATCTGTAAGCTAAAAACTAAATCAAGTGTACCTTTTTTACCTAAGCTCATATTTTGTGGAGTCCTGAAGTCAACCTTTAACAAGACTTTCCTTTCACATCTCTGGGCTTTGCCAGGAAGAAACCAGGGCTTCTTTAGGGTAGAAATATTCTTAGAGAAGCACTTCAAGGGACTTCAGGAATAAGATTAATAGGATTGGTAGGCACTGCGTGTTCTGGGTATTGGCTAGGTAATTCCAAAGGGTTTAGAGTTGTGGTGACATACTGCAGTTTAGCAGCTTGGGGGAAGGTGAAGGAAGAAACACATGAGGAAAGCTTATGGTCTAATATGTATGTGTGTATCTATATTCTAAAAACACTATATTCTGGAAAAGAGTAGGAAAGTGAAAAATCTTTTTTTGCAGTTCATGTTCTACCATGCGTTACTGCTCCAAAACCCTGCATCTGTCTGGGTATTCACATCAGCATACTGTCAGAAGCCGCATTAAAGTTTTCATCTGAAATGAGTTGATCTGGAAAACTTCACTGAGGTGGTCACTGACTGTAACTTTATGCTAACAGTATTTGACTTAGGCTAAACTTGTACTGGTTCATTTTCTAAACTGTTATGGTTGTGGATGCTACACAATAATAACTATTTTGTATTTGCTAACTGTATCAGGTGTAATAAGGTGCCACCACTCTTCTGGTGATGGTGCTTTAACTTTGCATGAGGCTCTGTACAGTGTAAGGGACGTGGGTGTAATATACCAAGTTTCCTTAAGATTAAAGGTTGGGAAAGCCTGAAGACTGAACACTATGCTAAATGTTTTGCAGGTTGGACAATCTGCTCAACATGGCTTATGGAGTAAAGAGGTAATAAAGGACTATTGGGTTCATAACAACCAAATCAAGTGGTTTATATACTCTTACTTTTTAAATGGACATTACGTTGGATTTTTGCATGATGAGACTTCAGCTGAGATTGCTCATTTTGTTGCACTGTGCATGAAAGAGACAAGCTGATTGTAGCAGTTTTATCAGATTCCTGTTTCAAGTGACTCACTAATCCTTACTGGTTTTATAGCATGCTCTTCTTTTGACCTAGCACCGTTTCCCCTACTTGTGTGTAGTAATGTATGTACTATTTATGGGGGGGAGGGAATACTTGCAATGTTACCTTCTTAGTCTGGCCAACATGTTCATGCTGTGAAAAGCCCTGTGTCATTTTCTTTTTTGTTCTGAAATTTCTTTGCTGGGATTTTCTGTGAACAGCTACTTTGTTTCTGTTTTGTTTTTCCCCCATTCTTCAGTAGGTTTCCTCCAATGACCATTGATGGAATGACCAGTTTGGCTGGAATTAATATCCCTGGGCATGCAGGAACTGGATGGTGCATTTTTGTCTACAACTTGGCCCCTGATGCTGATGAGAGCATCCTCTGGCAAATGTTTGGACCCTTCGGAGCAGTAACCAATGTGAAGGTCATCCGTGATTTCAACACCAACAAGTGCAAAGGTTTTGGATTTGTGACTATGACAAACTATGATGAGGCAGCTATGGCAATAGCCAGCCTGAATGGATACCGCCTTGGGGACAGAGTATTGCAGGTCTCCTTCAAAACAAACAAAACGCACAAAGCCTAACAAGTTATTCTCAGTGCATTAATACATGAAATCTATACAACAAAGGCAATTTACAAGAAGCTGTATGCATTAGTAAATGCCTTTGTTGTATGCCAGTGTGGAAATGGGGATAAAATGTCTACTTAGCATCCTAAGAATATGTGAGATTTTTTATTGCTAATATTTGAATTTAAACTTCTTAAATATCTTTTGTTTGAATATTGACAAGAGGTACAGGGTTTTTACCTGTCACGATGCATATTCTATTGCCTTCTTTGAAGAAGGTAGACCTTTTAAGATGTTTCAGCTAAGGGAAGAAGTTTTTTTCCTTTTACATGACTGCCTTTGGCCTATGAGTAAATATTGAGGCTTTGTGTTATACTTAAGTTGGTTTTTTTGGTGTTATTTCTTGATTTGCCTTATGTTTAATTTACGTATTAATGCATTGCTGTTTTGTTGTTCAAGAAAAATATTTGAAGTTTAATTTATGAAGTTATAAGCAGTATTTATTTTGTAACTATCATTTGCGTTGGGGAATGGGAACACATTCTAAAAGCTTATTGTAAGAATACTGGAGAACTTTTCGTAAAGCAGTACCTTGCCAAAGAGATAAGAGCCTCTTTGATGTGGGTTTAAAAAAGCATCTATTTTTATAAAAAAAAAAAAAAAAATTTGGAGAAACTTTTTACTGGTCCTGGAACAAATATTTTGACTTGAATACTTTGAGAAATCTCTTCATATGACACCTAGTGAGCTTTTAAAACTTACCAGGAAATTTGCAATTGTTGGGGAAAATTTAGAAAGATTTATGATGTAGAAATACTTTTGAGATCTTTGTATTAAGAAGTAGAGTCAATGGGATGCACTGTTGATTTCATTTTTGTAATCATCAGTGGAGTCTTTGAACATCCTGGTTATTAAGTGATAGGTGGCTCACAGTAATTTGTGATTTTGAAACAAATGAAAATTTTAAAAAAGAATATAAAAGCAAGCAGGAAACTTAAAATACTGAGAGATGGGGGAAAAAAATCTGTTCTTCCTAAAGAATTCCCTTCAGATAGAGCTCATGGTGTTTAGTGATGTACTTGCTATTGTTTGAAGAATTGTTTTGTCTTAAAAGACATTGAGCATGGTTTGCACAGCAGCAAATCAGCAGAAGAGGCCCGAGTTGGGTATATTTGGAGGTATTTTGAAAGTTATGTTCAAGGCTAACACCTGAGCTTTGTGTAATGTAAATAAGACGAGTTATGAACCTTTCAGCCGATTTTGACTTTAGTTTATTAAGTCACATGCCAAGTGATGTTCAATTTTGAATGTTTTTGTATGAGTTTTTTCTTTGTAAATGGCATTAACATTGTTACTTGAGGTCTGCTTATTCATTTTTGTTGTCCTGAGGACTTGAATTTACAGTGCATCTGATCTGTTGCTATTTTTGTCTGTAGATAGTCTAGCTTCAGCTGTTTATGGTGATGCTACATTTTTGTTTATAAATATGTTTGTGGTAAAAAAAGAATATAATCATAGGTTTTGAACAAATTTCCTTACATTTTTCATACAATACCCATAAATACCTGTATGCTATTGAAATTTAACTTTGTATGATGCTTAAATCACTATTTGGGGAAATAGAAAAAGTCTTTACCATGTATTGAAGAAATTTAAGAAAAAAAATACAGAATATTTTCTGATTAGCATCTAGCTTATAATTAAATTTTTAAAAAAAAAGCTGAGGGTCTGATGCCTTCACCAGGATGCACTGACAACTATGTAGTTACATCCTGCTTTTTGTATAAACTGAGATGCTCATATGCTTCCCCTTAGAAAAAGCAATGTTCTATGCATAACATAGTTGTACACTATCTTTGCAGTTGCTTTTGGTTCTTATTCTTTTGAATTGTAGTTATAAATTTTTCAGTATAGTACAGTACATATCCTGTGAAGCGCGTGCTAAAGTGAATAAGCGAGTTTTCATGCTGACCCACTCAATGCTATTCAAAAATCAATTGGCTTCCTGAGCACTTCCTCATTCTTAGGTGCATTTAGATTGTTAAAGCTAATCCTCTGCATTAAAAATTGTATATACTATAGAAGTCACAAACTTTCCAATGTGGGAAAAACAGTAGCTACATGCTTCTTTCCTATACTACTGTAGCAACTAACGGCATTGATGAGAAGGCATGTAAATTGGGCTTCACTTTACAGTGTTTATCAGAGCACTTAGTAAAATATAAGGCTGGTATTTATTTGAAGCTGTATAGTATGACTTAATTCACATCTGTTGGAATAGAAAATATATTCTGTTGAGTATTTAAGAGGTTGTACATGTTTTCTTTTGTGTTTGGATCCTTTGTACTTTTTCATGTTCAGTACATCAATAAACAAAGTTGAAGGGAAAACAGTACATGAGCAGTTCTTTTACCATATTGTCCTCTGCTTTAATGGGTAAGCAATCTGAGTGAAAGGTTTCTGCAGAGCTCTTGAGCTCCTTTTAACTTAGCTTAGGATCCTAGCTACTAACAAGGGGGTAAGACGGTGGAGCTGTGTACCGGTTCTGCTATGTTAGAATTGGTTTTGAATGTTTTCACTTTGGTTTTATATGAACCACTCAATACTTAGGCTGGTGTAATAAATGAGGGTCATTAAACGCATTCAATAAAAATTAATTTGCTGTCTTTCTAGCAGACTGCTATTCAGTATAGCTAAGTTAATGCCTTAGTGCATTAGGGTAAATACAGAGGGGAGGGGAGGATTTACTCTTTATTGCAATGTCCATTTGCTGTTTAATTACTGCATTAATTTCTGGGCTCCATTAATTGAGTGGGTATTCAGTTAATCTTAGTTTGCTGTTCTTTTCCGTTCCCAACTCTTGAAGAAATTCTTTAAAAATTAGTCAACTGTCTCTTGCCCTTTTAAAGTACATATACTCCTAAATTCATTTGCTCTGCTCAGTTGAATGCGAGTGAATTTCCACCAGTGAGAACACAATTCCAAAAGTGGATTATGCATTATAGCTTTTATTTTTAACTGTTTTCTTTCACCTTCTCTTTTACATCCTTATTGTGAGATTTTTTGATAAGAAGCCTTGTAGCATGTGGAGCATCTCCCATCACTATAGGGTGATGGAGTTGAGTTTGCTTGGATGATGAGATCGTAAGTCTGTGAACAACATGTAGATAATAGTACAAGCTTTCAGTCATAACCAGTGTTAACAAACTGACTCTTTATATTTACTTACAGAAATAGTGGGTACTTATGACTTCCTATGTGGTTATGTTCTTTGGTGGCTGGAGTAATGAAAGGATGCAAGACACAGTGCTTGGCAGCAAATGAGGAACTATATTTCGAGTTCATATTCCAGCAGGGACACCTGTGTGTTCAGCTTGCACTCTTTCATGGAAGGATAGTTTTAGTTCTCAACTGACACCAGTTTGAGTACGGTGTAATTAGACATGGTTGAACTATGTTATATGGAAATGAGGACCAAATGTGTTTATGTTATTACCTTCAGCTTAAGATCAAAACTGCTTATGTTTTGAGGTTTAGCTGCAGATAAGCACGCAGTCAAGGAACACCACTAAAAATTATCAGGTGTCAATGCTAAAAGATAAAAGTTTGATTATATATAGCTGAGCACCTCTGGATAGTTAGAGCTTCTAAGTAAGGGAACCTGATGCAAATTTATACAGAGGTAGTACTTCTATATTAAAGTTTTATGATAAAGCTAAGGAAGAAAATGTGAAACTGCTTCATGCAATAAGGTGGAGAAGGACTAGTTCCTTTTGTACCTAAATAATTAGAGTTCCAGGAGTGTCTGTAAACATTTGTGTGAGACTAAGTGGTAGAAAAAACAAGCTGGGAGCATGACCCTGACAGAGGGTGAGCTGTAATTGCGGTACATAAGCATTAGCTGGGGCCCTTGTGGAAGGGCTTTGTTACTGCAGAAACATGCTCGAGGCTTGTTTGGCCTCTTCTGCAAAAGATGTATGCAGTTAAATCAACTGTGACAGGTGAACTTCCCACCTGTGCCTAGAAAAGCCTTCCTTTGGCAAGAGAGCATTTTCCCCATGTGAATGAAAAAGGTGCATTTTTTTCAAGTGGACGGCTGTCTGTTGGGGTTGTGTGTGGTGTATATTTGTTGCATAACTCCCAGGGGTCATCAAGTACTAGTAAGTCTGGGATACTCGTACTACTGAGCAGGCCTGACTGATGTTTAAAATCTATTTCCCTTTGGAGTGTCACTTCAAACACACTGTATGAAGGTGACTAAATGTATAGGAAAGGTGACTTAAGTTAAATCTTGAAAAGCAGCAACTAGTTAGGACTTACTGTCAAAAAATTTATAGCTTTATGGCTAGCAGTGAGTATCTCGGGGGTTTTTTTACTTACAACAGTTTGAAAAATGAATGTAATTTGAAAGATGCTCCATCACAGGTAAAATAATAGCCAGGGATTGTGCTATTTCAACCTTGTCAACACTGTTGATCCAACCATGCTTGCACCTTCTTTAACACTGGACTTTGCCCAGTTGTGGCTGTGGTGGGCTGACCCTGGCTGGGTGCCAGGTGCCCACCAAAGCTGCTCCATCACTCCCCTGCTCAGATGGACAAGGGAGGGAAAATATAACAAAAGGGTCATGGGTCAAGATAAGGACAGTTTAATAAAGCGAAAGCAAAGGTCGTGTGTGCCAAAGTGAAGGAAAGCAAAAGATTTTATTCTCCACTTCCCATCTGCAGGCGATGTCTGGCCACTTCCTGGGAAGCAGGGCTCCTGTATGCATTTTCAGTGGCATTTGGACTTCAACATTTCAATTTGTGCATCTCAAAACCAAGAAGAATGCACCTATTTTTACACTAAAATTTTCCTAGTTAAACTTCGCTGTAGAGGCACCAGTCTACAAAACTACTGCTGTGATGACTAATGCCTTAGGCAAGTCGCTGTGCTAGCACATCAGAGGTCATATGGACCAAGCAGCTTAAAACAAAGCTGGGGGAGAGATTGGGTCTTTTGGTGGGAGGAGAGGGAACTGGTTCACTGTGATAATGTGGGAAGTCTGCTGTTGGGGTAAAGAGCAGTTTTAATCTGAAAAGCTTGACGTGCTGCCCACACTTTCAGTAACTATGACAAAAACTGAGGAAGCAATGTAAACTATCAAGTACCTTCAGAGCAACATGAATGACTTCAGTGGGTTAAGAGTTGTCTAACTTCATGCTATCAAGTCTGATGCCTTACTGTCTTACCTTGTAATTACTCTATTTTCTGTTTTGACAACATTCTGCTCTAAGACATAAATGGGAACAAGGAAAACATTAATTTTTTTATACTTGTAAGGCCACTCTAAAAACCAAGTGTAACTGCAGAATGTTAATAAAACATCTGATTTCTTCTTTTATATACTATATCATATGATTCCTATACATAAGTGAGTTTAAGTCAACATGACATTTTTAGTGACCCTGTAATACTGTAAGGAAAGTTGCTACAACTGCTGGCAGAGTATTGATTATAAACACTGCATACTTTAAAAAAACATAAGAGCTGAACTTCAATTTGAAGCAACTCTTACTAAATTATTCTCATGTATGCAGTAGGACCCTTGCTTAGTAGAGCACATGTATTTCTGTTGCTTTGAGTGCAAGGATGTTCTTAGTTTCAA